GGGCTTATAAGAGCCGTTTTAAATATTAGTTTATTACTTTAACTTTATATATTTCTAACTTACCTATTTCGGTTATTATTACTAGGCTAATATTAATATATTAAATCTTAATATTAGTATTGGCCCGGCCGTTAATAATATTTATATTATTATTTAACTAAATTCTATACTATTAAAAAGTACTTTATTACTTTTTAAATATATTTACGTTAGTTATAATAGTTATAATATCGAGCTAATTAAAAAAGGGGCCTAGTCCGAGGGGAATAGATTTATTAAAGGGTATTATTAAAATAGGTTCTCGTTAATATAGTTTAACTAGCTAGACTTTTAACTAGTTCTAATTAGTTATTTAACTAGTTATTTAGCTAATAGTTTATATATTAATAGGTTTATTTAATAGGTTTACTTAGTAGTTTATTTAGTTTAAATAGAGTTTATAAATAATATAAAAAGTAATAAAAATAAAAAGAATCTTTACGAGCTCTAGTACGAGTAGCTAAATACTAGCCTTTTTAACCCTTTTTTAAAAAACCTTTATATTGTTATTAAAGTTTAGAACCTTTATTATTAAGGGCTATTTTTAACCTTTATAGCTAACCTTTATTACTAACCTTTATTACTAACCTTTATAGTCGACCTTTCTAGCTACTACTACTATATAATAAAAAGGGTAATTTATTTATCCCGGATTATATAGTAGTTTTTATATCAAAATCACTATATTAAATTAAGCGCATACTTAGGGTATATTATATATATTATATAGTTAAAAAATATATTATATTATATAATTTCTTTTAAAAGCCCAATCTCGTTAAGGTCAATCTTTTATACTTATAAAGCTAGAAAAAACCCACTATATAATATTTACTTTAATATATAAACTTATTCAGAAAGGCGAAAATGGCCCCTAATGAGGCGGGCTAGACCCTAAAGAGATACCTTTTAATTATGTAATATATATAATATACTCTAAGTACGTAATTATTTTAATATAATATTTTCAATATAAAAAACCGCTATATAATTCGGGATAAATAAATTACTGCTATTTATTAATAATAAGCTAAGTAAGCTATTTTATAATAATAATAGCTAAAGAAGTTAATTATAAAGGTTAGCTATAAAGATTAAAGGTAGCCTTTAATTATAAAGGTTCTAAACTTTAATAATAATATAAAGGTTCTTAAAAAAAAGGGCTAAAAGGGCTAATATTTAATTACTTTTTATACTCAAGCCCGTGAAAATTCTTCTTACTTTTATTACTTTATATATTATTTATAAGCTATTCTCGATTTAAACTAAATAAACTACTAAATAAACCCGTTAATATATAGATTGTTAAAGCTACGTAGCTTAGTAATATAAGCCTAGGGAGTCTAAACGTCTCGCTTTATTTTTAGCGCAATTTTAAGAAAAAGTAGCTCGAATCTGCCTATAGTTAACGTTTTCACTTTATATAATTAATAACTACGTGATATTAACGTACGTACCCCGTAACCCCTTAGTAAGGGGTAGCTACATATAGCTAAATATAATATTAATTTATTATATAAATATACGCGCATTATAAACTCTATATTATATACTAGACTTACGTAACTATTACGTAACTAGATTAATAATATACTTTGTTGTTATAAATAATTTATTAAATAATGCCGAACCGGTTTAATCTAAAAGCGCTATTACTTAAATAAAAATATAGAGTAACTATATAATATAGAAAATATTGAAATATATAAAGGGTTAATTCAGGACCCGCTTATCTAGAAATCTACTAACATTATATAAGCGTACGCGTAATTAAATAAGCAGAAGAGATAGTACGTAGATAAATACGAAAAACTATAATATAAATTATGAGTTTATTAATAATACCCCTTAATAGGTCTCCCCCTCTAGGGCTTGATAAATTAGGCCCCCTCGACACCCTAGCTATTATAATTAACGTAAATATATTAAAAGAGTAGTATAATACTTCTTAATAATATGAAACCTAACTAAGTAATAATATAAATATTATAAATAGCTAGGTTAATATAAATATTAAAATTTTATATATTAATATTAAATTAGAAATTATACTTTATAAAGTAAATAAAGCTCGCCCTTTAAAAAGGTAGTAGAAGGTTAGGAGTTTTAGTTAGTAATTAGGTTTATAGCGCAATATACTAAGTTTTCTTAAATATATAATATATAGTAAGGCCCCGGCGGATTACTCTATTAAAGGTAATATAATATTTATAAAATCGAACCTTTAGTTATTAAAAAAGCCCCAGGGATCAATAATATCTAGGCGTTTTATTATTTTAATAATGTGTATTTAAATAAGTAGATAATTTAAATAATAATACCGATAAATAGCGAGGGAAATAGCGTTTTTGATTTTAATAAAAGCAACGAGGTAATATATATATATATATATATATATATATATATATACGGGTTGAAATTAAAAATATACGGCGGCGTTATTTTTAATAATAGTAACGAGGGTATCTCCGACATTATTATTATAAATTATCATTATTTAGAGGGCCGTAAACTTAGTTATATAGGTGGTTTGTAAAGTAATAGCGTTGCGTACTTTAGTATCGCTATTAATTAATCTATTATTATAAACTTTATAAAAAGAAAGTTAAAAAAGTAAAAAGAAATCTAAAAAAAAAGAATTAGTTTATTAAAATAGTAAGAGTATTTATTAATACTATATATTAAGACTATATAAGTAATATCGAGAACAACTTAAGTAGCTAGTAAAGGTAGAAATTTCAATAAAATATGTCCTATTTCATTATAAAAATATAATATAATAGTCTTTTTTATTAGCTTTATAAGTAATAAAGATCGGCCTTAACGGGATTAGGCTTTTAAAAAAATTATATAATATAATATACTTTTTAACTATATAATATATATAATATACCCTAAGTGTTATAGGGTGATTATAGCGCTGTGCGCTATAGCTAACTCGGCTACTATTTTATAAAATAGGGGTACCTTTTAACTAGCTTTTTACTTTCAAAAAGTAGGCTAAGATCTAACTTTTATATATTATAGGACCTATTTATAAAATAAATACTTTTTTTATTCTTAGTTAACCTTATTCCGTTATAATTCTAAATCTTTTATTTATATAATTATTAATAGAATAGTATTTAATATAAATAACGGACTTTTAGGAAATAAAGGCTTAGGGCTTTTTAATAATTTTAGTAACGGCTAGATTAATCCTAGCTATAATATTACTAACTCCGGAGCTATCCCTTAGTAATTTAAGAGGCTCTTTAGAATAGAATTACTTAATCAAAAAAAGCCCTAGAATAATAGAAATCTATTATAGCTTAATAAAACTCCTTTATTAAGCGAATTATTAAAGTACTCGATTATTATTACTATTTTAATTTTTATTCTCTTTTTAGTAATAGAAATATTAAAATTAAAAATATTTAGACCTTTATTAAAAAAGCTATATTTAGGTATCGTAATAAATAGGTTTTAGATATTAATTGCGCTTTTTTAAGCGCGCCGCGAAGATTCCGATTTAATTATATTAAAATCGGTTTTTTTAACTATATAAATACTAATTACTAAGCGAGATAGTTTTAATATTATAACGAATTATTTAATACTTATATTAAAAATGCTTTAGATTTTGATTATTTTTTAAAATAGACTTATATTTTACCAAAAGATATTATTTATAAGAAGCTTAAAATTATATAGGATATTATTTTAACTTACTAAAAGGATAACTAAAGCCCTTTAAACTTCGATATTTATTTAAGGTCCTTAAAAAAAGAATTTATTATTTTATTTAAAAAAGAATGTACCTTTTTTTATTATATTAAACTATTAAAAAAACTTTAATAAAGTATTTATAAATTTAACCCGACTCTTTTTAAAACCCGTATTAAAATAGTAATAATTATAGATTAGATATAGTAAGCTATAGAAAAGGATAAAAAGAAGAAGAATAATTATTATAAAAATAAAAAGGGTTTAAATAAGAAGCGCTAAGGAAAAGCTAAGGAAAAGCCCTCTTTTTTTTAATAGCTCTAAATAAATTTTTACTTTTTATTTTATAAATAGAAAACTATAAATATAATTTAATAAAGATAGAAAACCTTTTTATTATTATATTTATAATAATATTAAATACTTAGCGAATATTTATTTAAATAAAGGTAAGGATTATTAAAAAAAAGATAAGGGTTTTTTTATTATATAAAGTATTTAGAATCTTTTAAAAAAAGTAAAAAGAGGGAAATAAATCCTTTATTTCCCTCTTTTTTTATTTTAAAAATAAGTTAGCGTTTTTATATCTTTATTTTAATAAAAGGTTTACGAACTAATTTATTTACTTTTTATAATTTAGATATTATTATTAAATACGATTTAGGTTTTTTTATTTTTATATAGTAGTCTAGTTGTAATTAAGCGAAACTTATAGCCCTAATTTTAGAAGCTATAGGGTAATTAAAGATCTTTATTTATAGGGTTTAAAGTATCCTTATATTATTTACCGATTTAAAAGGGACTACTAAGACTTTTATCTAGGCTTATATTATCGTTAACCGGGACCTTTATTTAAATAATAATTCTATTTTCCTTTTAATAATTATTATTATGGATTTAAATATTTATTTTAAGGGATTTTAGCGTCGTTAGTAGTTCGAGATCTTTTAAAAATAATAAAAGGCCCTCTATCCTTTTCGCTTTATTAAAAAGGCTTAATAAATTATATATATATACGCTATTATTACCTTATTTAAAACCCTTTTTTTATTTAATAAAAATAAGGGTTTTTTTTATAATATTATAGAACTCCTATTAGAGTTAATCTTTACTTAGGATATCTTTAATATAAAAAAAGCTATAATACTAGCTCTATTTAAATCTATTAATTATTAAATCGAAATAATAGAGAGTAAAGAACCTCTTTATAGGCCTATTTATTATTATTTTTTAAGGAGTTATAAACCTTTTATAATTATATCGATATAGAGCTAAAAAAGGGAAAGATTCGTTTCTTTAAAAACCTTATAAAAGTATTTATTATTCTTATTTTAAAAAAGGATAGGAGTCTTTATTTATATATTAATTATAGGGGATTAAATCGAGTTATTATTAAAAACCGCTACCCTCTTTTATTTATATTTAAAATCCTAGATTAAATTATTAGCTTTTAGTATTTCTCTAAGCTCGACTTTAAAAAAGCTTATTATTAAATATATATTTATAAAGGGGATAAATAGAAAATAGCTTTTTATACCCGATATAGTCTATATAAGTACTTAGTACTTAGTAATACCCTTTAACTTTACTAATACTTTAATAACTTTTTAAAGCTATATTAATATTATGTTTAAAAGAATTATAAATAACTTTTATATTATCTATTTAGATAATATTTTAATTTTTTTTAAAAATAGGATAACCTATATTAAATACTTTTTATAAATTATAAATAGGCTATAAAAGGTATAGTTATATACTAACTTTTTTAAATATACTTTTTATTAAAAAGAGGTCGAGTTCTTAGGGTTTATTTTATTTATTAAGGGGGTCTTTATAGCTCTTAATAAAATAAAAGCTATTTTAAAGTAGCTTTTATTTATTATTTTTAAAGAAGTCTAGGTTTTCTTTAGGTTTTATAACTTCTATTAAAGGTTTATTTATAAATACTTTAAAATTATTAAACCGCTTATAAATTTATTTAAAAAAAGTAAAGATAAAAGGAAATTTAAAAAGGTATATTTAGATCGTAGCGCTATCTTAGCTTTTAAGATTTTATAATAAGCCTTTTAATTAGCCCCTTTTTTAAAGTATTTCTTTAATAAATTATTTATTAAAATTAAAATAAATATTTTAAATTATACTATATCCGGGATTCTTTTTTAAAAATATATAGATAATTAATAGTACTCCGTAGCCTTTTAATTATAGAAATTTAAAAATACTAAGCTTAATTAAAATACCCTAGACTAAGAGATATATATTATTATAAAGTTTTTTAAAACCTAGCGATATTATATAAAAAGGTTTATAACTTTTATAAAGGTTTTAATTAATTATTAAAACTTTAATTTATTTATAAACTAAACTCGTATTATAGGGAAGTAAGTAAGATAATATATATACTTCGCCCTTTATAGTTTCGTTATTAAATATAGATTAGGGAGATAAAACCCTATTAATAGGCCTTTTATAAAGCTAAATTATTATAATAATATAATACCGGACCCTAGCTTTTATTAAATATAACTAAAAAGGTATATCCCTTTTAAAAATATTAAATATAATAGTTTAGAGTTTAGGGGGTTTAAATATAAACTTTAATATATAATTAAATGAAAAAAGCCTTTAAAAAGGAGAGGGTTTATAAGGTTAACTTAAATAAAATATTATAAAAAACTATTTTAAATTTATAAAATAAAGACTTTTTTTATAAAAGAACTAAAGCCCGAGCTAAGCTAAGCTAAGGTTTATTAAAATAAAATATTAAAAAAAATATATTATATTATAAAAGTAAACTATTTATTTTTAAAGAAGCGTTGTTAAGGGTAAAAATTATATCCTTTTATTATAATAATCTTTTAATAAGTTATTTTAAAAAAAATAAAACTATAGAACTTATAATAAAAAAGTTTTAATATATAAATCTCGATTAAAATATAAATAAATATATTAATAAATATAAAGTTTATTACTTTATTAAAACTAAACGATATAAGCCCTATAGATAATTATAATCTTATTTATTTTTAATAAGCTATTTAAAGAGGTCTTAATAGATATAATTATAGGTTTACTTCTTTTATAGAATAGAAATTAGATTTATAACGAAATCCTAATAATTATAGACTAATTTATTAAGTAGTATTTATTTTTTATTATTAATATAATAATAACTACAATAGATTTAATAAAACTATTTTATAATAAAGTAAAACTAATATATAGCTCTTTATAAGGGATTATAAATAATAGAGGCGTATTATTTATTAATTAAGTATAGTTAGATTTATATTACTATAATAAAGTTAAACGTAGGCTTTTTATAGCTTTTTATTTATAAATAAATAAATAAATAGAAGCGGTAAATAAAACCTTTAAATAATACTTTTATTACTATATTAACGTTAATTAAAATAATTAAATAGTGTTACTATTTATAGCGTAGTTTATTTATAATAATATAAAAAACTTAATTATAAATAAAACGCTATTAAGGGTATTTATAGGATATTATTTAGAGTTTTAATATAATTTTAGAAACGAGATCTCTAAAAAGGAAACTTAAAGAGTCCGAGATCGGCTTTAAAAACTTAATTAATTAAAAAATAAAATAAAAGAGCTATAATAAAAAACTATAAAAAAAATAATAAAAAGAGTATAATAACTACTATAAACCCTAAGAATATTAAAAGGGCTAGCTCGTCTCTCTATTTATTTAGAACTTAAAGTTTAAAATAGGATAGCGAAAACTTTTATTTAAATTTATTAAACTATTTTAAATTTTAGAACGAATAAATAAATAGGTTTATTACTTAACTTTTTTTAAAAAGTACTCTAAGCTTTATAATATATTTTTAATAAACTTTTTTAAAAAATAACTAAATTATAAGGGTAGCGAACCCCTATTAATACTAAATTTAAAAAACGAGGATATTAAATAGGAATTAAATTAAATAGTTAACTGTTATAATATTAAAAATAGTCGCTTTTATTTAGTTAAATAGATAAGCTAGCTTTTAAAATACGACTTTTAAATTAATAAAGAAGATATATAAAACGCTATAAAAGTAGTTAGGAATTACAAAAAAAAGGTTTAAAAGGGGATTAATAAATAAAAAAATAAAACTTTTATAATTCCTAAACTAAAAGAAGACTTTTTTTTAATAAAATAATAAACAAACCCGAGACTAGACTTATAAAGGTTATAATATAACTAAAACCTAGCTTAAATTATTAAGTTTATTAACTAAAAACTAACTTAGACTATTATAAAACGTAACTATAAAAATAAAAATAGCCCGCTATATTAATAATTTAATAAATAAAAGGGGGAGGACTTAGGTTAAAGAGCTCGGTTCTTTTATAAACCTTAATTAAAAAATAGAAAATATAAGGGTTACGGACCTCTATAAAAAGGTATTAATAAATTAAATAAATAACTTAGTTATAAACGTAGTACTTTTTAAAAAGTTATTAAGTTTATTAGCTTTAATTAAAAAGGAAAAGGTAGGGGTTAGTATAATATTTTTAAAATAAAATAAAAATTAGCGTAAAGAATAAAGAAATGCTATTAAAAAGGTTTAATTTATTTAGTTAATATATCCTAAATAGTTAAGGCTATTATAAATAATATAAAAGCGTATTTAATAAATATTTTTATAAAAAAAGTATAGCTTTTAATATTTATAATATTAAGTTTAGGGAGTAGTTAATAAAAAGCTATTATATAGAAGAGGTTTAGTTTAATTTATTTAAAGGACTTAGAAGCGGGCTAAAAAAACTCTTTATAATAATTAATATCGAGCTAGGTAAAGTGCTTTTATAAAGTTTAAGAAATGCCCGCGAAGTTATTATAAATATTAACTAGTTCGTTATATTAAAATAGTTAATTAAAGTTATAATAAATCTATAACGCGTTTTAAAAGTTATTAAAAAAAAGGGGAGTAATTTAAAAAAAGTTAGCGAATATTTAATAAAAATAAACGAAAAAGTTATTTATAGTTTTATATTTATTATTACGCTTAGTATATTAAATATAATAATTATTATTAATTAAAATAAAATAATAATCTAGGTTTAGGACGTTTTTTTAGGGGGTTCGGCCCTTTTCGTAGTAGTTATAAATAATATAAATATATTTAATATAAAAGAACTATATAGAGAAGTCTAGGAGCTCGGGGCTTAGGTTAAAAAAGAGGGGGGGATTTTTAAAGTCTTTTTTAAAGTTAAGCTCGGAATTATTAAAACTATTAAAACTAGAGCTATTAAAATAATTAAAAAAATTATTATCGTTATAGTTACTAATCGCTTCGTTATTATTATTTTTAATAAAAGAAAGAGATTAATACTCGTCGTTATTATTAATATTAATAATATAATTACCTTAGCTATTATTATTATTAGCCTTAGACTTTTTATTAATAATATCGTCGTTATTAATATTACGAGGCTAGTAATTAAAAAAATCTTTATTATATATTTAGGGGAGATCGGTAACGAGAAGGGGACTAAGTCTTTAGTTTTTAAAGTCGTCGTCCTTTATATTAAAAAAACTACCGAAATCGTTAATAGCTTAGTTAAATATAGTTACAAAGCTATTAAATTAATAAAAAAAAGTAAGAAAATCGTTATATAAAAAAAATAAAAAAAAGCTATTTAACGAGAAGTTAAAAAAAAGAAGAGTTTTTATAAATAAAACGCGTATAAAGAAAAAAAAAAGTTAATTATTGAAGTATAAAAAATATTTTTAAGGGAAGGTTTATAAATAATAATAAAAGTAAATAGAAGTCGAGGTATAATTATAAAAAGTAATCGTAATTATTTATTTTAGTTATTGAATAATAATATTTAATCTGGGCTAATAAAATAGTTTATAAATAGTAAATTGGAAATAAATTAGCTAGCTTTAATAATCTATATATTAAATCGGGATATTTACTTAACCGGGGCATAGTTATTATAAAGTAATTATAGCGCTACGTACTATAACTAACTCAGTTACTATTTTATAAAATAGGGGTACCTTTTAGCTAGCTTTTTATTTATAAGAAATATATTAAGATTTAGCTTCTATATATTATAGGACCTATTTATAAAATAGATACCTTTTCTATTCTTAGTTAACTTTATTCCGTTATACTAAGTACGCGCTTAGTTTAATATAGTAATTTCAATATAAAAACCGCGATATAATTTAAAATAAATAAACTACCCTATTATTTATTAATAATAGGCTAAGTAATATATTTACGTAGCGGTAATAGCTAAAAAGGTTAATTATAGAGGTTAGTTATAAAGGTTAGAGGCGGCCTTTAATTATAGAGATTTTAAACTTTAATAGCAATATAGAGGTTTTTAAAAAAAGGGCTAAAAGGGCTAATATCTAGCTACTCTTTATACTAGAGCTTATAAAAATTCTTTTTATCTTTATTACTTC